ATTAATTTCTTTCTATTTTTGGTAGAGACGGCGTCTCGCTCTTGCTCAGGCTGGTCTCGAACTCCTGAGCTCAAATAATCCGCCCGCCTCGGCCTCCCAGAGTGCTAGGATTACAGGCGTGAGCCACCGCGCCCGGCCTCCAATTCTTTTTGTAGCTGTTTTGATTGAATCAGTATTCAAAGAAATTGACATACTGTGTTTGGCCAGTGTTTCTTAAGGTGCTTCTAATTCCCTTCTCTCTTCTCTTTTTACTTCATACCTTTTCTGTTGTTACTAATATTCTATATTTTTTTCCCACAGTGGTCTAGATTTGGCTGATTATGTCCTTGTGGTGGTGTTTAGCATTTTCCTGTATCCCCATATTGCGTATAAACTGGTAGTTAGATCTAGGCCTTGATTAAATTCAGTTCAGGTTTGACTTCTTTTTTTTTAAGGAATTCTCCATAATTGGTGTTATATTCTTGTATCATATCAATAGGCAAATAAAGTTTGGCTGTTTCACATCTAGTCATGCTAAGATTGCTCAGTGGGTTCAGGTGTTACTAGCCTGATCCATCCATCATGAAGTTCTTTGTCAGCCTTTTAGTAGACATTGATGATCACTGATTAGACCCATTATTTCATTTGTTGTTGCAAAATGATAATTTCCTAACGCTATCATTCCTCCTCCATTGGTTAACTGTACTTCTTGCATAAGGGATCTTTTCTCATCATTTTATTATCCTGAAATATAGTCCACTCAAGAAAGGCCTGATAAATACTGGATTTTTTACCTTCATCAGTTTTCAGAGTAATAAGTTGGTGCCCTGGTAATCCCAAAGGTGATGAGTGAGGTTTTTTTTTTTTTTTTTAGGGTATTGGTGTAAACTTATGGTTTCTAATATGTTTGTGTTTCTTTCTATGGAATGTCTGCTGAATGAATGTAGTCATTCTTCCTGATATTCATATCGTTTTATCTATTGCCTGTAGAAGCCAGTCAGTTTGTCTGCAGTATCCTTTTGACATGATTTTAGTAATGTTTGATAATGTTCTAGACTTATACATGACAAGTTGACCCTATCCCTGGGGAACTCTGATGCGAAGTAGTATTTAGAGACCATAATCGGGGTGCCAAGAAGTACTCATTGCCACTCAGTTGTCATGCTTCTAAGAAGTCTTTTCAGTTGTCAAATATAAGAAATATGTCTTTTAGAAAAAATGAAAAAATCATGAGTTCATACTGATATTTCAAACTTAGTTTAAAGATTAAAGGGTTTTTGATCCTCTTTGATTTGTGTATTTATATATTTTGTATATCTTTTATGCTGAAAATCTTGGTTTTTAGTGAATTAGCATAATTACTTATTTGCTTTATATGTGGTATTTTTTTTTTCAAATAGTTTTAAAATGGCAATACTATTTCCATTTTTATAAGATCACTGAATGTGGTTTAAAATTTTTGTGGTTCTTTTTTTCTAGGACTATACAGTTAAAATGCTGTGTTTTGAAGTCAGTAGAATAATTCTGTGTGTGCTTGGTTATGCTATCAAACTTGGTACACAAGTTTATTTGTTTCAGGTTTTTTTTTTGAGACAAGGTCTTGCTCTGGAGTGCAGTGGCATAATCACAGCTCATTGCAGCCTCAAACTTCTGGCACAAGTGATCCTTCTGCTTCATCCTCCCAAGTATCTGCAACTGTAGGCACATGCCACCAGAGCTGGCTAATTTTTAAATTTTTTTTGTAGAAATGGGATCCGTTGTTTTCCCAGGCTGGACTCAAACTCCTGGTCTCAAGGAATCCTCTTGCCTTGGCCTCCCAAAGTGCTGGGATTACAGGAGAGAGCCACTGTGCCTGGCCTATGTTTTCAATAATCATCTTATGTTCTGGGATGCCTGCAGTAGTGAAAAGCTATAGAAATTTTTTTAAAGTGATTATTACGGGCCTTTTCTTCCCTTACCCTTTAAAAATAGTGACAAGATTCAGCCTTCCCATTTTATAGTTGAAGTAACAGACTTGTTTGAGGTTATATTTCTTATTAATGATAGACATTGGCGGGGCTTTACTTTTAGAGGAATGGATTTTTTCCTAACTGGGAATACTAATAAAATTTAAAATATACACCTAGATATAGTCTCATTTTACTGGTAATACTTGATTCAGGTAATTTTCAGATTGGCTCAGAGATGCATCAGCCCCCTGGTGCAGTTGCTGGGAGAAACTCTAATGGATTCTCTGCTTTTTCTTCTTAATTGAATTATGAGGGAAAACTTGAGAATCATGGGGGAGGGCTGTTATTCAGAAGGATGAAAGATCGTTTGAGGATGGGAGCCACCGTATGGCTCCCATTACTCTTCCAAGGATAAGGAAAGTTCAGATAATATGTAGGGGAGTGGATGCCTTACTTAGCACCACATTTCCTCAAGTACAGCCTATTGATAAGCTTTAGCTACCCCCCCAAGCTCTTCTAATTAGGTTTCTATAATCAATTATTACCAATTGTATGTGTGAACAGTCTTCATAATGTAAAATTATCGTTAATGAATTTATTAATTATTCTTGTTTCACTCTGGTTAGACAAACTAATACCAGCTAAATATAAAATTCAAGTAATGTTGAAGAAAAGGAGAGTTAGCAAATTTATAAATAATCCTGCGTTTACTTACATGTTTATCCCTGTAGTTGTCTTGATTTCTACTAATTTCTATAAATCTCACATTATACACTTTGGAATCACGTTCAGAATTAGGGGTAGGGGAGAGTAAATATAAAACTAGCTAACATCTACTGAATACAGAATAACAATCCTATGAGGAAGATTCTGTTATTAGCTCCATTTTAGAAATGAGGAAACTGAGGAATAGAGAAGTTAAATGTGACCTTCCAAAGGTTTCACTGAATATAATTATAATCTGCTTTAAGAATGTATGCATGTTCTGCTACTCTTGGCTCCTTAAAGAATATTTTACAGTATTTTTTGTAAATGTTTTTGTAATGTTTGTTTTGTGTTTTACAGCTAATAGCTGCTATACACACACACACACACACACACACACACACACACACACGCACGTGCGCGCGCACACGCACACACATATTTTTTTTTTGAGAAAGAGTCTCACTGTGTTGCCCAGGCTGGTGTCAAACTCCTGGGATCAAGAGATCTTCCTGCCTTAATCTCCTGAATAGCTGGAACTACGAGCATGCACCACCATGCCTGAATTTTTAAAAATAATATTTTACTACTAATGTAAAATATCATTTGGCTAGTTTCCCACTTCTCAAAATATTTTATCATGAAGTTTATTTTAGAGCTTTGGTTCTTAAGGAGAATGTGCTTAAAATGAAAGTGTTTTTGGTCTTACGTGTTGAAATGAGAAGATAAATGTTCAGGCTTTCTACACATTTTGTGGATGACTTGCTTTGTTTTGCCATTAAACTGGGCTGAAATGTTAGTTATTCTATATATTTGGGCCCACAGTCAGTTTATATAAGCCATATTGTTTTACTTGAACAGTGTTGAAAATAAGCATTTTTCTTTTCAGTAAGATTTAAATACATTCTGTCAATGGTTGACTTGTAGTTCAGAAATGAAAATGTAGAGAAATGCTTTTAACTTCTAAAGCATTAAAAGACTTCATTTCTTTATTGCAGAAATGTAGACAACCAGTTTCCCGAGCAAGCTATTCCACCTGGATTTCCAGCGTATCCTGCCTTTAGCCCACTGCAGATGCTGTGGTGGCAACAGATGTATGCTCATCAGTATTACATGCAATAGTAAGTTCATCTAAGTGCGGTTCTTTTAGTTTCTAACCGTGTTATCTGCTTTATTTTTTTAATCCTAAGTAAGTTGATTTGCTATTTTATTTGATGATATATTTAATTGATTATTTAAAATTATTATGAGAAGGAATTCACAAATATCTCTTTATTTTAAATTATTTGGCCAAAGGAAAAAGGGTTCACCTCCAGTTCCCATCAACTGAATATGCTCTTGGCTCCTCCCTCTCTCCCCTGATTATGTTTAGCAGTATTCAGATGCTTTGTTTAACATGTTTTATAAATTCAAGAGGGTAAAATTTAGGAAGGTTTCACTCACTGGAAGGCAGCAAATCTACACAAAAAGATAGGAAGTCAAATGAAAAAGGGAATAGACAGAACCATGTCAGGGAGGCCCAATCTTAAGTAGAGCTCAGATGTGGCTAAATATGCTTACTGGACTCCAAGGATTTTAGTAAGTCTTGACTCTGGTCATGTGGAACAGCCTTAGCACTGAGTACGATTTCTCAGCTTTCGCTCTTCCGACCTTCCATGCATTCATAATTGGCTAGTTCTCTTTGCTGTTCTCCTCCTTGTTTCTGTGATTCTTTTATCTTCCTCATCTTTTTTGTCTTTCTGATCATTCTTTTTGTGCCTTTTTCCTTCTTCTAAATAGTATTATAACATTCCTTGCTCAATTCAACATATATTTGTGTTCTTACCATGTGCCTCTTGGCACTCCTAGTTGATAGAGAAGTAGGATTCAGTCCTGGGGCAGTTCCTTTGGATTTCTTTCTTCCATGGCCTTAGTTGTTAGCTCTTTGTGGATGACTCCCAATTCTTACTCTTCTGTGCTTCATCCTGCATCTCTGTTTAACTGTTGGAAGGTTTCCATAGGGTAATTAGCTTTTACCCCAAATCAAGTACATCTAAAATTTGACTGCTCCATTCCCTTAAGTACCTTCACCTTCTTTCTTTGTCAGTGATACTTTCTTCTTAATTACCATCCAAGCTCTTAACCTTGATCATTAATCAGCTTTGATTCTGGGTTCTGTTATCTCCAAACCCAGTAACTTATGAAGATGAGTTAATAGAGCTGTCCTTCCCCTGTATGCTACTTCCAATATTTTTCCCAGATCTTTTCTCATTTTAAACCCACTTTACTTCAATAGCTCTTTCTCCTTTCAGGCTCTTTACTGCATTTCCTCATATTACTTCCAGGCTAAATTTCTTAACACATAATTGAGTCATTCATTCCCTATCATCTAAAATATTTGCTGGCTCTCTTGCCTGTAGTGTGTGATCTATATCTTTATCCTTCCTCCAGACCTTTCTCCATAAATCTAAACTGCTTTATGAACCTCTTATCCTAATACTGTCTTCCGTAAGCCCTTGGCTCCAGGCAGGCCGTTTGTGTATGTTGCCATGGTAATGGTTATCATTTGCTGACTTCTTTGTGCTCAGCACTCTACTAGATGCTGTACACCCCTTGTCTCATTTGTAAACCTCATGAGAACCATGTAAGATAAGTGGAGCTTACCGTAACTTGCTACTAAATCAAACATCTTATGTACATCATCTAATTTATAAGCCTTAAATTCTCACCTTTAAAATAAAATGACTCACCCGTGTATCAGAATATCCATAAGGTAGAAAGTATTTTGTAAACTAAAAGCCCTATATGGATACAAGGTATTAGTTTACTGGCTGAAAGAGCATTTTGTAGCATGGGAAACATTTATTTAATTTTTCTTTGCAATCCTGTTTAACTTTTTATTGTAGAAAAATTTAAATATACAATCAAATAGAATAGTAAAATGAATTCCTGTGTACCCACCATGTAGCTTCAACATTTATTAATTCATGTCAAGCTTATTCTACAACTTTTCTCTTCCAATGAATAATTTAAAGCAAATCCAAGACATATTATCATTTTACTTGGAAATTTATTCTGACTTTTAATCAATCAAATTATAAACAAACTTCAGGACTACAATTCTTTGTAAGTTGACAAGAACCAGTGGTCCTCAGTTGGAATTCCCAAAAATCAGGATTGGGATTGAGGGGTTGTTATCTGAGATGTATTAATACAAATAATTTATCACTGACAATAGATACAAAGGGTAATAATTAATATATATTTTTAGATAAATTTTTCAAATCATGGATCTGAAGGAGAGATGGTGGGCTTGGGAGTATTCATCCTATGTAGAATAACAAAAGGGGCTTTTACTGAAAAGTTTTGGACATAGTTGTCCTTAGCTTATAAGGTAATTTAGTGAAAGAGAGAAAAGAATGATCACCATCACCGCTCTTGTCTATTCCACCTCTCCCCTCCCATCTTAGACCACCAGGCTAAGAGAGCATCCTTTCCTGAGCCACTTCTACTATCAGTCTTGGCTCTGCTTTTCTAATGGAATTTGTGCTTATCTAAGAAATATGGTACAGGAGTTGTGATATTCCATACTAGTTTTATGAAAAATACATTTGGCTCCCCAGGAAGTATTAAAAAATATAGTATGATAAAATTTTTTTCTTTTTAATATTTATTTTGGTGAATATTTCAGTCAAGCTGCGGTTTCAGCTCAGGCCACATCAAACGCCAACTCAGCCCAGCCTACTGCTTCACAGCCTCTAAATTTGGCACATGTTCCTGGAGAAGAACCCCCACCAGCTCCAAACCTAGTGGCCCAAGAAAATCGACCCATGAATGAGAATGTTCAAATGAATGCACAGGGAGGTCCAGTGCTAAATGACGAAGACTTCAATCGAGACTGGCTAGACTGGATGTACACGTTCTCACGAGCTGCAATTCTCCTTAGCATTGTGTACTTCTATTCTTCTTTTAGTCGGTTTATCATGGTAATGGGAGCCATGCTACTGGTTTATTTGTGAGTGATGTTCATTAACTTTTTGTGGTTTCTTTTAACTACTTTCTGAAACTGTTAGCACGGAATCTGGCATAGGGTGGTCTGTGGTGAATGTTGAGTGAAAAATACGAATGCTAGGCTTCTAGGCTTCAGATATTTGGCATGTTTCTGATACCAAAAGCTAGGGCAGGTTATGTTGAGTAAGAATACTTACCAGAATTGTTTAGAAGCAGATTTTTTGTTTACTATATTTTATAAAAATTGTTAATTCAATGAGACATGCTTTATCAATTATTTAGAACTTGAAGAAACATGCGATGTACTCCTGCATAAGGACATCCCTTTATATTACAATTACCAGTAGTATTCCTATACATATAGGTCAGACTTTTTCATAAGTAGACTAATTTTCCCTTGCTCCCTTCTCCCCAAGGGCAAACAGATATCTTGTATTTTATTTTTGAAAAATACCAAAAAATATTTTAGGACTCCTGTTACGTGTTAATGTCTAACATAGAGGGAGTCAAGCCTATGGTAGACTTATAGGTTTGAATTGGTTTTTGTTTTGCTGTCATTGCTTTTTTTTTAAGAGACAAGTTCTCTCTCTGTCACCCAGGCTGGAGTACAGTGGTGTGATCACAGCTCACTGCAGCCTCAGACTCCTCCTGGGCTCTATCATTGCTTTGAAAAGGGAAGTTCCCTGGCCTGAAGTGAGAGGTTTTTTTTTTTTTATTATAGTTGTAATGATTTTTTCTCTTGTAGGACACTGATGTTTTATAGTGTTACAAATAAAAACAATTGTGATTTGTTTTCTTTACTCTTTATTTTACTGAACAGGCACCAAGCTGGATGGTTTCCTTTTAGGCAAGAAGGAGGTCAGCAACAGGCTCCCAACAATGTCGGAGTTAACAATGATGGGCAAAATGCACACAATCTAGAACTTGAAGAAATGGTATGTTATTGAGGCTTTTGTGTACTTTGAATATATTAGTAGATATTTCCTCAGCACCATATGGGACCAACATGATAAAAGAATCTTGGCTATTCCATAAATATTTGTGAAATGGCACATGAAGAAAAGCTAACATATAAACTGTGGTGGTTTCATCTGGTAGAATGTAGAATATAATACTGAATCAGTCATATATTAGAATTAAATGGGAAGAAGTAACATTTTTCCTGAAAATAGCCTAGAAAGAAAATTAGGCACACGGTGAGAGGCTTGTATTATGTTGGCAGTTGTCCCCTTTAAACTTGAACACCAAGGAATTTATCAACTTTGGACTTAAGGCTTTCTAATGACCACGTATGTACCACTTCCTTAGTACATGCTCACATTCCTTTGTTCTCCAGTGAAGAACCGAATTGTCTTCTTTGCTATTCCGAGTTAATCCCAGTAGTTGAAATCACTCAGGAGTATGTTTCTTGTTTTGTTTGAAAGGAGCATCTTATGGATGATGGGCTGGAAGATGAGAGTGGAGAAGATGCAAGCGAAGATGCCAGTGCAATTCAGAGGCCTGGTCTGATGGCTGCAGCTTGGTCTTTCATCACCACCTTCTTTACTTCGCTAATACCAGAGGGGCCTCCCCAGGTTGCCAATTAGACCTGAAAAACTGTGCCACCTATAAAGAAGGGTCTGACTTTAGGAAAGTGGTTTTAAATAATAGTGCAATTTCAAAAAAATTTATAACTTTCTTTTGATCATCATGTATAGCGGTGTTTTTTCTTTAAGCTTCTCATGCATATGAATATTTTAAGCACAAATGGACTACTAAATGTGTGATTTTTTTTTTTTTTTAAGATCCTAACAGAACAAACACAGTGTAACAATATTGGTCTTCCAGGTGTTATTCATTTCAATTATGTATAGTAAACCGAGACCAACCTATTTGTGCATATTATTTCTTTAAAGAGCTGCTTCACATATAAATGTCTATAGTTAGTAGCCTAGCCCTTCAATGTGTAATTTGAATAAATATATCTATTTTCTGTGAATTATCCTGAAAGTTTTAAACAGAGTGAACTCATAGTTTTTAATAAAGAATATTATTTACCTAAAATGTGCTAGTAGCATCTTGCCCAGCCATAAAGCAATAAAATTCTCAGTAATCTTAATTTTGACATTTGAAAAAATAATGGAAACTTTCTATTTTAAGGGCATGTATCCCATCAATTGGAATTAATACCTTAAAGAAAAAAGGCAGCTCTTCAATGGAATTAATAGTGATATAAAATGTTTGATACAGGCAGTACTTTTATAAAATAAGATATGCTGGAAATTGCTCCCTGTAATTTTTTAAATAAAAAGTCAATTATGGTAAACAGTCTTATGGGATATTTGTTCAAACTCGTCAGCAATGTACCCGTTACACGCAAAAATCTATGTAAATTTCAATAGTTGTTTGGAAGCATTGCTAAAATCTTAAAGGTCATTTTTGCCTCTTTCTATTCCAAATAGATATCTCCTAGTTATTAAGTAGTTTGAAACCTCAGTAATTTATTTAAAAATCCTTGGAAAGCCAATTTAATATTTCATAAGAATAGAGTAGGTTTCATACAGGGTACCTAACTAAAATCAAACAAGTGTGGATGGGAGAACTTTATCTCATATGAAATGAATTATAAACTTATGAGTATGGTACTGGCATAGATATATATGATTAAATAACAGACTAGAAGATCCATGAATTGTCCCCTTGTTTACTTATAATGATAAAGGTGACAGTTCCAGGGATAACTGGTTAACCCTTTGAAAAGTAAAGTCAGGTTTTTATTTATAGATGTCAGTTAAGACTTTGAATGTGAGCAATCAAACCATGGAAATACTAAGAAAATATAGGCGAATGCTTCTATAATATTGGTGTGAGAAAAATACCTTTATGGCAAAATCTCTAAAAGAAAAGATTGCTATGTATATATTGTCTCGACATAATTTAAAGGCAAACAATTAGGAAAAAAAAAAGTAATAAATGAAGTCTTAGGTTCAGTCCAGTAAAAAAAAAAAAAAAAAAAGTACTCCAATAGGAAATGAGCAATAAATATGGGGAAAAAAGTAGTATGTAGTAGTTAAAACTTTCAAATTGGTAAGATGATGCTCACGGTGTTGGTGAAGCTATAGGGGAATGTAAAATAGTATCTAGTCTTTCCAGCAAGTATCAACATTTTTAAATGTGCACAGAATCGTTCGGTGTCATCCTGTTGTTCCTGGAATAAAGATCAGACTAATTGAACATGGCTTACAAAGTCCTGAAAGGTTGGGCGTAGGCTTCCTGTCAGTCTGACCTCCCCCTTGATACCTCTATTTTAGTTAGGCTGCTCTTCTAATTCCAGCACTCTCTTCTTCCATCCCTAAGACTTTTTAAATTGCTGTTCTTTTTGCTAGGAACACCAACAGTTCTTTTCTTCTTTGCCTCAGCAACACTAATCATTCATATCTCAGCATAATTGCCAGTTCCTTAGGGGAGCTTTTCCCTGGAAGCAGAATTTACTTTGCATTTTACATTGCTGCAATTTATATTTATTTACCTATTTGTCTCACCCACAATATATAAGGGCTATGAGGTTGGAGAGTGCCTGATGTTTAGTTCAGTTCTGAATGAGCACATATCCTTTCAACCAGCAAAAGTCTGAAAAGACACCATGCATGTGTGGGATTTAGCTTTCAACATGTTCACTGCATTGTTTATAATAGGAAAAAAATAAAACTGGCAGATGTTCGACAGAGTGAGCTATGGTGCATTTGAACACTGTTTGGGGCCATGATTAGGGATGGCTTGTTTCAGGGATGGTGCAATCATTGCATCCAGATGGAGGGTCTGGGTTTTAACCTGGGAGCTAAATAAATAAACTGTCAAAGCTAGCAGAATTGCTTCATGGGCCAGGTCCTAAAGCAGGGGAAGAAAAATGCAGAGATGATTGTGAGATTGCTCAGTCTTAGTCTTATTTCTGTCGGGGGCGGAGAGAGGAAAATTGTAGCTGTAGAATTCATAGAGGGGGGCAGCACTGTCGGGGACAACCCTCTGGAGGAAATGAGCAGGTCCCTGCTTCTTAGCCGTAGGCTGAGGCTAAGGAGAAAGATACCTACAATACTTAGTGGATAAACCCTGGAGGCCCTAGTCTAGGGTACCAGTTTCATGAGTCGTCTCACCAAAGCTTCCTTCCTTGATCCTACTGCTAAATTCTCAATCTCTTCCTCCATTTGATCTGCTTTCCAAAATGAGCATACCAAGACCTGCACAAACTATTTCATATGGTGCAGTAAGCCATTTCACCCAGTGTTCCAAAGCCATAGGATGAGCAGGTGGGAAAAATTAAGACCTGTGTAGGGTCTTTACCAGTTACCACCCCTCACAGGGTGCTCAGGAGTAAAGCTCTTATTGTGCCTTTCTTTCCAGTTACATGATGATACAAAATTATTAATTAAGCTTTAGAAATTATTATTAATGTTTGAACATTTGCTGTATTCCTGGCACTGTGCTAAATGCAATACCTGCATTTTAAAGAATCGTTAAAACAGCTAAAGGTAAGTACCATTTGTTACTTCTGTTTTCCACTTGAGGACACCAAGCCTTAAAGAGGTTAAAGAGGTGGCCTAAAGTCACACAGTTAGTAAGTAACAAACTCGAGATTTGGACCCAAGTCTATTCTACCCTAGACCTTGAACTCTTTAAAATTAATTATACAAATAAGGCATGCTGGGAGTTCAGGCTTGAACTAAGGGTGATGAGCTTGTTTTGCACCAACCCTTCTGCTGAGGAAACTAGAAAAGCCAGAATATATGTATCTATTAAGACATCAGAAAATTATCTGGAAAGCAAGGGCTAATATTCCAGAGAGGTGAAAGTTGCATTTGGTACCATTTTTTTTCCCTCAAGGGATATGCTAATTCAAGGGCAGTGGCTGAGGAGCTAGGCAGAATTTTTAGAAGACTCACTGGGAACAAAAATTAGAGTTCAGGATCCAAGTAGAAGTGGCCCTGGGAAGCACCCCAGGCTTTCCACTGGGACCCAGAAGGGCCAATCTTTGGGTAAAAGAGAACTAGATATGGGCCTGCCCATACAAGGACTGAAGCCCAGGCTCAATTGTAGTAGGTGGCCAGGAGCAAAAACAAATCCCCTCTGAAGGAAGAAGAAGATCATCCAATTTCTCAAATTTTCTCTATGATATTATTCAAAATCTGTTAAAAACTAAGAATGCAAAAAATCCCACAAAATTTGACTAAAAATGAGAAAGTGAGAAAAAGGCTTCCAGGAAATTCAAATATTTAGCATTATCTGTCAGGGACCTGATAATAACTATAAATTAAAATACACAAGGAATAAATGACCAGATGGAGAAATTTCAGCAGAGAACTATATAAAAAATGAAATTTTAGAATTGAAAAATAATATGACTGAATTTAAGAATATGTGGCTTTGATAGACACAGCTTAGAGAGTTAGTGAACTGAAAGGTCAGAGAATATCCAGACTGTTGCTGGGGTGAATAGGGCAGACATAATATTTGAAGAGTTAATGGTTAAGGATTTTCCCAAACTGATGAAAGACATAAGCCACATATGTAAGAAATGCTGTTGACCTCTAAACAGGATAAGTTACAAAGAAAATCACACCTAGTATGCTATTACTTCATAGTAAAACTGCTGAAAAACAAAGACAAATTTTTAAAGTAGCCAGAGGAAAATAAAGATTACTTTCAAAGGAGGAACGATAAGCCTGATAGGGGATTTCTCGGCTAAAGTAATGACAGAAGTCAATGGATGATATTTTCAAAGGGCTTAAAGAAAATAATAGCCAATCTAGAAGACTATATGAGGCAAAAATATCCCTCAAAAGACACTTTCATACAATTGAAAACAGGATTTGCCACTACTGAAAAGTACTAAAGGATGTTCTTAAGTAGAAGGAAAATGATCATCAATCACAGCTTAGAGGTGTAGAAAGCAGTGTATAACCCTAAATGAATCTTGACTGTATAAAACAATTTTATACTTTATGAGGTCTTAAATATAAAGAACTGAAATACGTGACAAAAAAATGTATATAAGTCTGGAGAAAGGCAAATGGAATTAAAATATTCTGAAGTCCTTGAATTGTCTTGGAAGTTGAAATGGTGATTTTCATTTACTGAATTACATGAAAAATTAATAAAGCAGCAGTGTATGTTTCAATTTCTATGGTATTTTCTAAAATAATCTAAAACTATTAATCAAAGGGAAATATGAAATAGTAAAATAATCCACAAAAAGGCAAGAAAGGAGAAAAAGCATAGAATCGATGGGAACAAACAGAAAACAAACAAATGCATCAATATCTACATCAAGCATACATGGGCTAACTATTCCAATTTAAAGACAATATTGTCAACCTGGATAAAGAACAAAACCTAATTCTCTAAGACTTAAAAACAACACTCTTTAAATATAAGAATACAGAAAGGTTGAAAGTTGTAAAAGATGGAAAAGACCTATCATGCAAGTAATTAACCAATAGGAAGCTTGTGTATTTAGCACACAAAGTAGACTTTCAGGTAAGAAGCATTATCAGAGTAAGAGGGATATTTCATAATGATAAAAGTTTTACCTTACCAGGAATACGCACCTTGCTGAAGTATTTGAGCTGTCTATGAATCTCAGACAGGTTGCCCATGACCCTACCTCACTTTGGTGATGGTCCAGGAAGCTAA